TACTGCTACTACTACTACTACTACTACTACTACTACTTCTACTACTACTCCTACTACTCCTACTACTCTTACTACTCCTACTACTCCTACTACTACTACTACTACTACTACTACTACTGCTAGTACGACGGTGAGTACTTCTACTCCCACCAAAAGTACGAACACTACCGTCACACGTACTACTACTACTACTGCTGCTGCTGCTGCCGCTGCTTCTGTTACACGTACTACTACTACTACTACTACTACTACTACTACTACTAGTACTACTACTCCTGCTGCTGCTGCTGCTGCTGCTGCTGCTGCTGCTGCTTCTGTTAATTGCTAATCACGCAATCGCACTTCTTGCCAAGAGGCTGCTATGGATGAGAACAGACAGCGATTCTCCGAAGCAGGCTTGCCTTTGAGACCGCGGCTGCATGCCAAGCCACATGCAAAGAACGATGAAGATGCTCCTGCTGCCGATTCGCCAGAGAAGTCGGAAAGCAGCTCTCCTGCAGCTGCCAGAACGCCTACAACGACTCTCTTTCTCAAGACCACGGGAGTAGTCAAAGGTGTGTTACAGCTCCACCAGGTCTGCAGGATCCAAAGTACGATTCTTTCCCCTGACCTTAAGTCCCCTTAAATGCTCGGAACCGCAGGTGCTCGACGGGAGCATTGACGGCTATTCTTGCTTGTGGCGATCTGAAGAAGTGTGGAATCTTCAGAAACGTGGACAAAAATTCCACAACTGGTTTTCCAAACTGTGGCTTGCTCGCAATCAATTATGTTTCGGTCCGCATTTGTTTTCAGTCTAATTTCCTCTGAGTCAGCCTAGGCAGGAACAACAGGGTTCTCAGCTCGCAGAAGCTTGGAAAGTCCAGATCGCCCTTCACTTTATCCGCCGAGAGGACTACAAAGGAAGGTCTTCGGATGTGAAAGACACTAGACCTCGCCTGCCATTCGACGCAATGACAACTCCGGCCTTCCTGTTCATGGTTGCCTAGCTCACATTTGTAGACTTCTGCGAGGCAGCCCCAGAAGTATCGTTAACTCCACACATTGCTGCGAGGTTGGAGTGGGCTTGCAGGTGAGAGGCTGCAAGCCCCAATTGCAGACGACCTCGCTCGAGACCCTGCACATCGTTCTGAATGAAGCGGCGCCGCCTCATCTTGATTTAGACTTGCTGCCGAATCGGCCCGACTGCTGCTGGCCCGGCACTAGTCATTATTCCACCCAGGTCTGCTTAAGATTTTAAAAGCACGCTGCAGTGTGCCCTTCAGGCTGTGTTCATGTGAAAGATCACGAAGTACAGCTTGACAGCTTGAAGTGTTTCCTGGACTTTGTCAACCTACAGGAAAGGCCCGGGGCTTCAGGATGCCAACTTATGATCACTCAACAAAGAGTCTAGACATTGCAGGTGGGAAAACACAAAACTCTTCACAAAAGCACAGCAGAAGCTGCAAGCAGGCCTGACTCTTTCCCCGCATTAATGCCCCAAAGACCGATTACGAAGTACTCGGCCTTGCAAGGCATTCGGCTCCACGTGTTCGTTTGGTTCGTTCTGCGACTGCCTTACAACGACACTTGCGAGGACCTGCTGCCTGCCAGAATCACGGGCAACTGACAACACGCATTGCAGGACATTGCCTGCTACAGGCTTCAGAGGAGGCTGATACACAGACTCGGACAGGCGGTCGAGAGACAGCTGCCCCGAGTGCTTCGAGCGACCATGCCCGTCTATGAAGCTGGCGATCGCCTTCACCCCTGCATCAAGAGCCTCGGCACGTTGATGTTCAGTTTCATCATCCAATACTGCGATTTTGAACATACACGTGCCAGCTGAGGGATGGCCGGGCTCTGAAACTGGAAACGAAACCAAAGGATGTGACTTGCATCCAGCGATTCTTGAGTTTCGCTGGTGGCTTCTTGGGAACCGTGCAAGACCAGAGCCTTGAACAAATGGACTTGGCTGACATTTTGCCGTCGCATCGACAGAGGACTGCCAAGCAGACTTTTATTCGATATCAGACATGCATGAACCAGCTTCTTCGCAGGCCCAGCAAAGTCCCACAGCTTATAAATTCCTAAGGTCTAAAACCCGCAGGTCGCCACACACACTAATAATAATTCCCCCGGAAGCACAAACGGACTGAAACGAGCACCCACTTATGTCATTACATAGGGTAGAGCCAGAAACGGTCGCACGCGGGGACAGCGAGAGAGTCAGAGAGTCACAAGGTTTGCCGCACAAGCTGAGCCAGAGAGCAGATGCACTCTCTCATCACTGCTAATGTCACCCAAGTGTCTATGACGGTAGGCATCCGAAACCCTGCACTAAACCCAAAACCCTGAACCCAAAACCGTAAACCCACAAACAAAAACAGCCAAAACCTCAACCCTAAACCCTAAACCCTAAACCTAAACCCCAAACCAAAATCAAGAAACCCTAAACCCTAAAATAAACCCTAAACTCTCTGTGTCCGTCTATCACTGTCTCGCACGCTCCCTCTCCCTCCTCTCTCCTGCTGCCGTTTTGGATCTGGACAGGACGTGTGCCGACTACGTGTTTCGTCACACAAGAAAGACGGCCGAGATTCTGGCTCAGGCCTCGCAGACATACGCATCTGCTGCATCTTCTGCTTTCGCAAATCGGGGGGACTGCAGGAGATGAGCAAAACAACGCTGAAGAGCTTCAGCCTGCTGTGCGACGCCTCACCGAAGGGTGCCATGGATGCTACCTGTCCGTAAGTCTTACTGACGCCACCTTCGGGGATGTTGTTTTGGATTTTCGTGCATGTCTGCTTTCAAGGTCTGGCTTCCGGTTGTCAGCTGCAATGGCTTTGCTGCGGTTGCAACCTTGCAGCGGCTCAGCACATTGCATCCGTCGCAGAGAAGCAATGCCCAAAAGATGGACGCCGCCAGAGCCATTTCAGATGCAACTACAGAGATGCTTGTTGCTGATCGCAAAACAGAGGACCACAAGGCAAAGCTGCAACTTTGCCTGCGAGATACTCTTGACCTCGCCTCAAACCTAAGTAACCCTCAAACCTTTCTTCTTTGTCATTCCTTGCAGGATGTATTATACACCCATGAGTAAGTCCGAATCCCAAGGCCACGCTCCATCGCGAACATTCATCAAAAGAAGCTTGCTGCCAAAGAGCAGCTCTTGGCGGTGAGCCACTGCCTCGAGCACCTCGGCATGAGTCTCGACAGCTTGTTCCCTGACGAGCCCCTGAAGCCGCCGAACCCTCTCACCGAGCAACGACACGCTCATGAGATCGATGGTGTCAAGATGCTCTATGTCCACAACAACATCGACGGCACCAGCTCTTGGGAGCCGCTGCGAGGCGGTCACAACCGACTGGTGCTTTCTCCGGACGAGGGCTCGGCACTTTTTGCCGGCTTCGTGTTTCTTGCACAGCGAGGAGCTGCTATCAGCTTTGACAGGGACAACATGCATTTGGTCTGCAGCATGAGTGTTGGGCTGGCTTGCTTGCCCGACTAGGAGAACGGTGTGTAGGTCAAACAATAGCATTTTGCAGCCGAGTCACAAATTGCACAATCACTGCAATCGCATCCTGAAGTCCACGGCATTGATGAAGAGAACCTTGGCTGCAGACAGCTCTCTGCAGTACTGACATATCAAGTTGTTTTTTTCGGCGATGTTCCTGCATGCAGAAATGTCTACGCTGACTTCATGGGTGTATCGCTGCCGGCGGTCCCCATGGTCAACACATGCCCTTGGCAACAATCTCAAAGAAGCTGGCAAACGGTATTTGGACATAGTCTCTCAGCTTCAAGAATCGTCTCCCTTTCTGAATTCAATCGCACAAAAGTTGCTCCGCTCCAAGGCAGAACCAGGAGATCTGCTGCAGCAGCAGTTCGCCAACGACATCCTTTTGGAGACGCTTACCGCAACGGGGCTGTTGTCGGTGCTTCGTTTGTTGCTTTGTTTTGCGGGGTTTTGCTCAGGAATGACCTGCAGCCCTCTCACGACGAGGCTGCTGATTTCGAGAAAGTCATAGGCATTCTCTCCAAGCTATGCAAGCACCTGGCCTGGAGTCGGAATTGAATAGCCCCCTTGCAAGCAAACCTGCCCAGAGCTCCAAAGACACACCGCTATCTCAGGCTACACGATGATGGCTTCGACTTCAAGAGATGGTGCAGCTGGGCCCATGCTGCAAAGAGGAGCCAGTTTACTGGCACCTTGTTGCTGCTGTTTTGGAGTGGGATAGAGGCTGCTTGGGGGTCGCGGGGTTACCCTGAACCCTAAACCCTAAACCCTACACCCTAAACCCTAAAACCCTGTTCTTGAAGCCTAAAGCGCCGAAAGTCAATAACCCCCAAACCCAAAAATCACAAAGCTGCCAAGGTCTGCAACTTCGAAGCCCGAACCCTCACTCGCAATGACTCGCACCTTGAAGCCCTTAAACCAAGGGGCCCATCCCACTTTTTGGCAACAGGCCGGTGTGAACCCGTTCCACGTCCTCACGAAGTCCAACCAGGAGCCTGCCAGCGAGAAGTACGCCAAGGTCGTGGACGTCACTGTTCGTGTAGCTGGAGTTGCAAGGGTAGGTTTCTCTTTAAAGACATGCTTGCTATTCGTATTGGCTTGTGAGAGTCTTCCTAGGCATTGATGGATGAGCAAGTGTATGCTCTGTGGAAGAGCACTCGCATCCTGCTGGAGCCCTTTCGAATCATTTCTATTTCTCTGGCAACAAGGCTGCACATAAATTAAGCCCTGCTTCTGCCTAGTCGGAAGACTGACCATACTGGTGTCCGCCATCTAAGCAAAAGAGCAACAACCGACTGTGGCACCTCCACAACCATGTGCTCGAAATGTCGGGCAGCAATGTGGAGCGAATGCTTAGCGACCTGGCCTGCAACAGCCTCGGCAGCCACGTCTTGGGCCACAAGTCAGACGTTGCAGCTGCAGACGGAGAGGCCATGGCACACGCACTGTGAGAGAACGAGAGAGAGAGAAAGAAACGCACACAAGATTTGCTTTCGAGAGTAGATCTAGAGATAGAGAGAGA